CCCAGGGGGCTGCCTCTCCGTGTAGTCACCGGGGACCAGCCTCTGTAAAGCGTGGTGCTGCTCCAGCCTCCCTGCCCTGCTTAAGAATCCAACCCAGCCGAGGGTTTCGCTCCTCTCCGTCCCGATCTCCAGGGCAGGAAGCCCCCGCTGTGCTGGGGAAATCCCTGACCGTCGCCGCCGGCTCCTCCGCCCTGACGGGTCCCTCGCTTTGCATTGCAGACCCCGGTGATCCTGGCGGCCTGCGTGTCCTTCGGGCACTCCAAGCTGCTGAGCCAGATCAACTGTAAGTGCCAGGGACCCCCTTCCTTTGGGTTCCCTGCCGGGTCCAGCCAGCGCGATGCCTGGGGCACTGTGCTTTGGCCGGCCTGGCCAGCCGCTCGGCCTGCTCCTGGCGCGGCTGCCTGGGAGTCAGATGCCCCCAGCCATTGTTGCTTTTGTTATTCCACGACAAATGTGGTGGGAGGGACCCGGGGCGTCCGAGTAGCACTGTGGGCGGAACACGCGTGGTGTGCAGACCTACCTGGGCGTAGCCACGGCTGCTGTGGGCGACTGCTCCTCGCGCCCAGTGAGCACCGCTCGGGGCTGACAGGCCGAACGCACGCTGGCCTACCGGGTGATCCTGGCCAAAGCAGACCCCCCTCCGCCTGTGCCCAGGTTAGATGTGGTGTTGGGGGGAGCAGACTGGCGCCAGAGCGCGCCCGGCACAAACGCAGAGCTGGCGGTAACCATGGAAGGTGGCCGGTCCTGGCTCCTGCTCACACGGATGCCCTGCTTCCCTCCAGCGATTGCAGTGCTCCCTCTGGCCAGGGGTTGCTGTGTGTGGCCAAAGCAGACCCCCCTCCGCCTGTGCCCAGGTTAGATGTGGTGTTGGGGGGAGCAGACTGGCGCCAGAGCGCGCCCGGCACAAACGCAGAGCTGGCGGTAACCATGGAAGGTGGCCGGTCCTGGCTCCTGCTCACACGGATGCCCTGCTTCCCTCCAGCGATTGCAGTGCTCCCTCTGGCCAGGGGTTGCTGTGTGTCGGGACAGACTCCCCCAGCCAGTAGAACAGAGGGAGTTTATTGCTTCTCCAGGATACAGCCCAGCACAGATGGAATCCGGTTCCAGGGCAGGCCTAGGATGCCTCAGCCCCCCCTTGAGATGGGGGAGACTGGGCCCCTAAATCCCAGCCCCTTGCTTAGGCTGCTTCCTCCATGATACCAGACAGAAATTGCCCAACTTCCAGCCCTGCCCCCCAGCCAGGGGCTGCCCTCCGCCTTCCTCCCTTTGTTCCTCTCCCTGGGAGGTAACGGGTCGAACAGGCACCTCCCTGTCCCATCAGCTACTCTGCTGGGCTGTGCTACAGACAGCAGCCAGTGGCGGTCACCCCCAGTCTAGCAACCAGCAAGGTACCAACACTACGTCACACCGGGCCATGGAGGTTCCCCCTTTTTGGGGTATCCGTCCCCCTGGACTGGCTGACCAGGTGTTGTTCCTGGCAGCCCTCTGATCCGAGGCAGTGCCCCGCTGGCGGGGCGACCAGGCCTGCCCGCTGCTCTGGGCTCTGGCCTAAGGATGTTCAAATCTGCAGCTGAAGTTCACTCTGTCCCAACCCTTGCTGCTGTGTCCCTGAGCCTTCTCCTGCTCCCCCTCGTCTGGCTTCTGCTCTGCCACCCTGCTGGGGAAGCCTTCCTTCAGGGCTGGGCCCTGGGGCTGCTTCTCGCCCTCTGGGTCACTCCTTTCCCTCTCGGCCGGAGAGAGACTGCTGCTTCCATGCTGCAGCCCCCTCTGCCCTGGCTGCTTGACCTTCTACCAGCCCCACCTGCTCCTGCTCAGCTGGGCCCCACCCTCAGTCTGGGAATGTTTCAGTCTCATAGCTGATTAGGCCTCAGTTGGGGGGAATGTGTCCAGTTCTGGGCACCACATTTCAGGAAAGATGTGGAGAAACTGGAGCAGGTCCGGAGAAGAGCAACACGAATGATGCAAGGTCGAGAACAGGAGCTGTGAGGGGAGGCTGAAGGAATTGGGCTTGTTTAGTTTGGAAGAGGGGACATGAGTGGTTTTCAGGTATCTAAAAGGATGTCACGAGGAGGAGAGAGAATTGTTCTCCTCGGCCTCTGAAGATAGGACAAGAAGCAAGGGGCTTTAATTGCAGCAAGGGAGGTTCAGATTGGACATTAGGAAAAACGTCCTGCCTGTCAGGGTGGTGAAACACTGGGATAAGTTGCCTGGGGAGGTTGTAGAATCTCCATCCCTGCAGATATCAGAGCAGGTTGGACACACACCTGTCAGGGATGGTGTAGACGGTGCTTGGTCCTGCCATGAGGGCAGGGGTCTGGACTTGATGCCTCTTGAGGGCCCTTCCAGTTCTAGTGTCTGTGATTGTGTGGTAGGGGAGGGCCAGCCAGGCCCTGGGTAGGAGCCAGGTGGCACCTCACTGCCGAGTGTTCGAAGCTAGTGCTGGATCGAGCAGACTTCTGAGAATTCTGCTGTGATGTCCCCACTACTCGTGTGTGAATGTTCCTAACCATCCCTGTTCTTATAGAGGCAAGGGCAAGGTCAGTGTAACAGAGCTTTGGTCAGGGAATACAAGAAGTGGTTGGGGGGCATGTGGGGCGGGAAAGGACCCTCCCCTCCCTGCAGTTCAGGGTCTGTCTGCACGGGGAGGAGCCGTACCCTGGCTAGCTCCCGTCCAGCTTGCCCACTCCAATTAGAACTGGAGCAACAGTGGCAGGAGCAGCAGGCGGGGGCTTCCTGGACAGGTTGATACGTGGGGTGACTTTCTCCTTCCGCTGCTTCCACCTTGCTCATTCTGAACAAGCCAGCTGGCTCCGAACGAGCGCAGGGATGGGTCTGTGAGCTAGAATTGACACCCGCCTAGCTCTGGAGCACAGATCCTCCTGCTGCTCAGCCACTCCACTGCAGCTTTGAAGGGCTGCAGAGAGAGCAGTACAGCCAGGAGAGCGCCCAGCCGGAGTCCAGACACCCTCCTTGCTGTGCTGAATGGCTCAGAGAGGCATCCCTGGATCTGAGCGGAGTGGGCGCTTTGTTTCCTCAGCCGTCCCCCCGTGGCCTGGCAGAGTGGGCCCGTCCCGGCTCCGTTCCGGGATAGGGGTGCTGGTGGGGGAAGTAGTGTTTTGTCACAAGGCTGAGTGGAGTCTTTCCCTGTTGGACTGGAATAGTCATCGGGGCCCGTGTATCCTGGGAGTCTGAAATTCCTCCCTTGCCGCTCAGCTGAATTCCAGAATCTTCCGTGTATCAGGAATGCAATGAGGTTGCCAGCCTTTGGGTTTGAACACCGACCAAGAGTAACTAACATTGCGGTGTCTGCGGTATCTATCTCCAAACAGTATCTCCGAGGGGTTGGAACTCTGAAGGGGGTTCCAGAGAGGATGGAGAGAGGCTGTTCTCAGTGGGGGCAGGTGGCAGAACAAGGAGCAATGGGCTCAAGTTGCAGTGGGGGAGGTCTAGGTTGGAGATTAGGAAAAACTATTTCCCATGGCGGGTGGGGAAGCGCTGGGCTGGGTTCCTAGGGAGGGGGTGGAATCTCCATCCCTAGAGGTGTTAGTCTCGGCTTGACAAAGCCCTGGCTGGGCTGACTTAGTTGGGTTGGTCCTGCCTGGGGCAGAGGGCTGGACTTGATGACTCCTGAGGTCTCTTCCAGAATAGTCGATTTTTAATACCTAAGGGTATGTCTACACCTCAGCATTATTTTGAAATAACATAAAGCACGTCTACACTCCAAGCCTGTGTTTTGAAATAATGGCGAGCTGGAGGACTTCTTACTCCAACTCCGGCAACCCTCATTTCACGCGGAGTAAGGGAAATTGGAGGAACAATGCTCTTCCTTCGACTTCCTGCTGCGTAGACAGTGCCAAAAGCTGAGTTAAGGTATTTCGACTTCAGCTACACAACTGACATAGCTGAAAGTGCGTAGCTTAATTAGACGTTAGCCCTGCTGTGCAGACGTGCCCTTAATGAGATTTCAGAGATCTCCCAGGGACGAGATGAAATCCCAGCTTGTGGTTGTGCGTCTTCCACCTCCAGCGATTCTCCTTCCTGTTTCTGGTACGCATTGTAAAGGCTTTTCCTTTCCACACAGGTGTGCTCCCGTTTGAGAAGGGAAAGCTCATGTATGTGGCCCAAACACCCACAGTAACTAAGCGGTTAATTGAAATTCCGGTCAAGGTAAGTGTCAATGCTTGGTAACCTGTCTGAGATGGCGATGTCTTCTGCTTGATCAGCCCTGAGAGGTTCAGAGAAATGAGCAGCAGAAAAACCTCAGAGTAACTCATCCGCTGTCCCCAGTCTCACCCAGGGACCATTCTGCAGCCCGTATTAATGTCACTAATTACTCATCTAGGCCCTGATCCAGCACAGCCTTACTGGTTTCCTTAAATCCCCCGAGTGCACAAAGCTACGTAGTTGCCCAAGTCTTTGCAGGATCAGGGCCCTATTTGTACTTAATCGCGTGCTCTCTAGCAAGGGGACAGTTTGCGGAAGCCCTGCCCCATGGGCGTCAGCAGTGCGGAGTTCTTCACTCGGTGACATTTAAGAGGCAGGATGAAGCTGTGGAAAAAAAACTTCCACTTAGTAACGGGAGCACGGGGCCTGTCCTGCTGCGATGTTCCCCTCTCTGGATTAGAACAGGCCTTCTTGGTCGGCAACAGTTTTTCTTTCCTGATGTCACGAGAACGAAACAGTGAGCCGGAGAAAAAGTGAAGAACAGCTGGAAGTTCTGAGCTGCAGCTCATTTGCATGCCGCCGCTTCATTGGTGGTGTGAGGAAAACGGCCGAGAGGAGGATAGCTTGGCCCAGCTGCCACCGTTCTTACCGCAGGGGCTTGTGGCTGCTCGTTATTAGTTTGAACCAGCCAACCTCCCCGGCCTCAACAGAGCAGCAGAATTGATTGTCAGCCCCGCAGAGTGAAAAAGGAGAGGGCTGCTCTGCAGCTTTGTAATTAACAAACTTGGTCGATTCGCCGCTCGCGGGTACCCAGAGAGGCAAATTCGAACTGGAAATCAAGCGCCCGTTTTTCCACAGTGAAGATAATTAACCACTGGAACAGCTGCCCGAGGAATGTAGCAGGTGCTTCCTCAGTTGGAAGTTGTTGTTAGGTTGGGGGTCTTTTTCAGAGGCAAAAGTCCACCAAATGGTGGGCATTCAGGCAGGAATTTGGGACTGACAGTCTGCGAATCCATATGATGTGGTTTAACCAGCCATACGGGGCTTGGCACCCCACGGATCCTCTTTCTTACTGTAACCCGCACTTGTGCAGGGTGGTTTCTGTCTCCCTCGCCCGGCTGCACCACGGTATGAATATGAGCTGGTCTTTTAGTGCATGCAGTAGAGGTCCTGCTTGTCCATCCCAAGGTTGCAGGTTCAATCCCCTATTCACCCAGAACTGTGATTTACTGCAGAACGCCCAGTCACACACCTTGCTCTCTCGGGGGGTGTGGGTGTGGGTGGTGGGGAGGATTGTCAGAGATGCCTGCAGCAGCCACCACAGGCCCCATAGAATTTGTACCTCTCTTACCAGCCTGGGTGGATCGGGCACCTGGGAAGTGATTTTTGGATTAATTGGTGGAAGGTGAATCCCCTTGTTCTGCTCCCTGTGCCATGGGCCTTCCTCCCACAGGCCCACGCTTCGAGGGGCTGCGCTTCCTTCCACACAGAGTGGGGGCCCACACCGGTCACTTTTGTTGCTGGAAGTCCTTCACAGCAGTCTGCAGGACCATGAATTGAGGCTGTGGAGAAGGCCTGGAAGCACGAATCCCCCCTCCCCCACCGTGGCACTGTAAGGTTCCCCACACGAGTAATTCCTCTGTCCCTCCTTTTGCGAGGGTCAAACGCCGCGCGTGATCTCTGCTTCCAGACGGAGTACCTGGCCGACAGCGGGAAGAAAATCCCCATCCCGCCCCTCCCCAAGGGTTTTGTGATGTTACCGGAGCTGAACGTGACAGCGGGGGCCATCGGCGAGAACGTCTTCACGGCTGTCCTCGGCTACAAAATCTTCAAGAAACCTCACTCCTTCCCTTGCACCACTCACACGGTGAGAGAGGCTGTCACAGGCTGGGCTGGGCGTTCCTGCCAAACAGGGTCCTCCACCGAGGTCCCTAGATGCCTGCCCCTCTCCCATTGTCACGGGTCCCGGCGGGGGAGTGAGGTGGAAGCAGGTGCATTAGAACATCACGCCCCAGTGTCCTGCAGCCTTCTAGTGTAGCCCCGGAATCTGAGCTTGGGACACTGGGCCAAGCCTCTGTGGGTGCCACAGTGTCTGTGTGGCTTTTCTAGCACCCTCCTGCCTGCCCTGATAGAACAAGTCTGCCAGCCTGGCTGGGAAGGCCGCTCCATGCTGCACGGTAGGCATAGCCCTTGAGACGAGGCTCGCAGGAGGGCAGCAAAATGGGTGGAGTGGGGCGGCATTGTTGTCACTCTCGCCATAGCTGGGGCATAGACCAAGGGAAGAGGAGGTCAGGCAGGGAGCAGAGGGGTGAGTGGGAAAATTCAGGGGGGAATCTGAAGGGAAGACCAGGGAGGATTAAGTCGGGAGTATCGGCAAGAGGCGGAATGTATGCAAACGAGACAGCACATGCTCATTAAATATGCACTTTAGACTGCAGCATTTGCATAAAGTCACCAGCTTTCTAGGCCTGGCGCACGATGGGGTATGGTATGGGGTGTGGCAGTCTCTGTGCACAGCCATATCTGGGCTGATGCACCAGTCCTGTAAATGATCTGGAGAAAGGAGTAAATGGGGAGGTGGCAACGTTTGCAGATGATACCAAACTGCTCAAGAGAGTTCAGACCAAAGCAGACTGTGAAGAGCTTCAGAAAGATCTCGCCAAACTGAGTGATGGGTCAACAAAATGGCAAAAGAAATTTAAAACTGATAAATGTAAAGTAATGCACATTGGAAAACGTAATCCCAGCTATACTAAGATGGGGACTACGTTAGCTACAACTACTCGAGAGAGGTCTTGGAGTCACTGTGGATAGTTCTCTGCAAACATCCACTCTGTGCAGTGGCAATCAAAAAAGCAAACAATGTTGGGAATCATTAAAAAAGGGATAAAGAATAAGACAGAGAATATCTTATTGTCTCTCTATAAAACCATGGGATGCCCACATGATGCCTCATCTCAAAAACGATCTATTGGCATTGGAAAAGGTTCAGAAAAGGGCAACAAAAATGATTAGGGGTTTGGAACAGGTGCCGTATGAAGAGAGATTAAAGAGACTAGGACTTTTCATCTTAGAAAAGAGGAGACTAAGGGGGGATAGGATCGAGGTCTATAAAATCATGAGTGGTGTGGAAAAAGTGACTAAGGAAAAGTGATTGACTTGTTCCCATAACATAAGAACTAGGGGTCGCCCAATGAAATGAATAGGCAGCAGGTTTAAAACAAAAGGAAGTTTCTTTTCACTCAGTGCACAGTCAACCTGTGGAACTCCTTGCCAGAGGATGCGGTGAAGGCCAGGACTTTAACAGGGTTCAAAACAGAGCTAGATGGATTCATGGAGGTTAGGTCCCTCAATGGCTATTAGCCAGGACGGGTAGGGATGGTGTCCCTGGTCTCTGTTTGTCTGGAAATGGGCGACACGGGAGGGATCATGTGAGGATTCCCTGTTCTGGTCCCTCCCTGTGGGGCACCTGGCCTTGGCCACTGTGGGCAGACAGGACACTGGGCTGGATGGACCGTTGGTCTGGCCCAGTCTGGCCGTTCTGATGCAGAAGATAACCTGAGGAAGGGCTCTGTGGAGCCTGAGAGCTCCTCTTGCCGGCAGACACGGGCCCGATGACCGATATTAGCTCACCGTGTCCCTCGTTCCTTCCTTCTGGTTTCAGTTCCGTGACGCGCTGTCCCTGGAGCAGGTGGTCTCTGAAGTGATTGTTTCCAAGGTGAGTCCCCCTTAGCCACGCAGGCCAGAGTCCCACCACACAGCAGGCCGGGGTGCCGATTCCACACCTGACCCCATGGGGCGCTGGCCCTCAGGCCTGGGCGCTTGGGTTAACTTGGATGCGCTTGCTCCCTCTCGGAGGAAGCCGTTCCCCGGAGGGAGGCAGGGAGGGAGGGAGGGAGGGAAGGAAGCGTAAGGGCAGGCTGGTGCTGCTGCAGCTAGGCCCTGGCTGCTGAGGTGGCCAGCTTGCAGGTCTCAGTGGGTGCTGGGACTTCTGAGCTGTGCAGGAGAGTCGAAATCCACACTTGCTGTTAGTCTCTGGGGAGTTGCATTGCATCTGCTGCTCTTCCTGCTGCCGGGGCTCGGAATATCTCCTCCCGCCCTTCCTGCCTCCTGCGTTTCCTGGCCTGTTGTCCCCACGCTTCCAGCAGGGCCCGTCTCGCTGACTGTGTGCTTCCACGTAACCCTCCTCCCCGGCCCCTCTGTTCTTACAGTGCCCCTCCTGCACCCCGGTCTCGTCTTCCCTGGTCATCGTCACCAAGCTGCTCAAACCCCTGAAGGTGTCTCTGGACGTGAACCTGTGCATCATGAATATCTCCCTTCGCCTGGAGATAATGGACAAAAAGGGAAGCAAGAAACCTCTGAACCTCATTGCCTTGCAAGTGGTAAGTGGGGAGACGGACAGCTCAGATTTAATCTGAGGGTGAGAAACCAAGGAGCAGGTGCCCAAGGGATACCGGCCATCAGCATCCAGGGGCAAGGGATGGGTTTGGGTGTACAGCGAAATGTCACCGTTCATAGCGATCGGCCTGGGGCGAAATATGGCCCACGGGCTGGATCCGGCCCGCCAACCCACTGGATCCAGCCTGCAGACGCTGCGGGGAGCCCCAGGCAGGCTCCCCACTTGTCTCACTCCACCCACACGCTGATCAAACGTGGCTGCATGTCAGTTTTTCTTTAAAAACTGTGAGTCTGGAGGGGAGGGGGGAAAGCTTTAGGAGCGGCTCCTGCCTCCAGCACAATCCTATTGGCTGGTTTCTGGCCAGAAATGGGAGGTACCTATTTCAATAACAGGCAGCCACGAAGCACAAAGGGCTTGTATTTACTCACAGAGCACATGGCTGCAGCCTGTGTGGGTGTGGGTGTGGGTGGGGGGGTCTGTGGCCTGCACTGTGCAGGGGGTCAGACTAGATGATCATAATGGTCCCTTCTGACCTTAAAGTCTATGAATCTATGAATCTCCTGGACGGCGCCTGCCTCTGGCACCCCAGCCCCTCCCTTCCCCAAGTCTCTGCCCCCCACTCCACATACCCAAATCCTCTGGCCCCCTCCTGAACCCATATCCCCTCCCAGATCCGGCACCCAAGCCCCCTGCCCCAGATCAGTCCCCTCCTGCCCTAGCTCGCAACCCAAACCCCTGCACCCCCTCCTGTACCCCAATTCACTGCCCTAGGTCACAGTCCAACCCCAGGCACCCCAGTCCGGAGCCCCAGGTCACAACTGCCTCCTTACCTCCAGCTCCCGTCTGCACTCAACCTCCATCCCAGACCCCCACCACCTCCATTAATATCCTGGAAGGGTGCGGCCCTCAACCATTTCCCAAATTCTTGGAGTGGCTCCCCCATCAGCACCCCTGAGATAGATGGCGCTACTGTGCGTAGGTGTGTCTGGGTGCGATGGGTTTGATTCTGCGGCCGGAGGAGCAGCATCCTCACTGATAACTGGGACTACTCCTCTTTGGTGGATACAAAGCCACAGAGCAGGCATAGGAAGAGCCAGGTGGGTGGACCTTAGGACCCACGGTTTTGGGTGCCCCATGCAGCTGTTTTCTGCATACGGGTAGGGACAGCCCTGGTGACACCTGGTCAGTAAGCAATGGTGATTGGTAGATCCCAGCCCTTGTTAAAAAGACCTCTGAAAAATGCAGTCAGCTCTGCCCATGCCGAAGAACCACACTCCAGCTTCCAGAACCGTGTCCCAGCCGCGTGCGCGGGCGGTTCCCGCTTTGCAGCCTTATGCTTCATGCACCATGACAGCAAAGACCCATCGTGCTGGGTGAGCCGGTGTTTGAACCACGTGCTCAGGCAGAGCGTGGCTTAGGCCAGGCCAGTATCCCAGGAGGAAATGCCCCCCATTCTTAGCACGGGTGGACTGAGCTGGCACACGCCGGTGTCTGCGTTACCCGAGCTTGTGTGTTTCAGATAGACCAGTCTAGCTCTGCCGGCTCAGAACAGACCTGCAGGTGAGCTGGCTGTGAACAGGCGCCGGGCGAATCCCTCTGCTGGCATGATGGGGCCTCTTGCCCCAGTAACTCTGAGAGCCGCCAACTGCCTCTGTTCAACTCCGTAGGGTGTTGGCATGAAAACGTTTTTAACGGTCCTCTCCCTGATCGATTTACCAGCGCCCCTGGGCTTGTGGGAGAGATCTTGGGCCACTTGATTATTCCGTTGTGCCTGCAAAAGAGGCGGCTTTTGTGACAGTTCTGCGTGATGCGTGACTATGGCGGGGCCAGCGAGGGTTCCCTTTCTCTGAGCAAGGCAGCCCCCGCAGGGAGGAAATGTCCGTGCTGCATCGTGCCGCTGATGGTCTGTTCTCTGAGCCCGGCTCAGCTGTTTGGGTGACTCCTTGCCTCTTTGCAGGACCTGGGTTTGACTGCCATTCTGCAGCTGGTGGAAGGGAAGGTGCACTTCATAGCCTCCGTGAACAGGTACTGAGTCTCTTCACCCGGAACAGGTTCACAGGAAAGCAAAATATCCCGAGCAGATGGTTCAGATGATGGCAGAGAGAGGACGCTTACTGAGTTTGCAGATGGTACCAAGCTGGGAGGGGCTGCAAGTGCTTTGGGGGATAGAATCAGAATTCAGAATGATCTGGACAAACTGGAGAAATGGTCAGAGGTAAACAGGATGAAGTTTAATAAGGACAAATGCAAAGTGCTCCTCTTAGGAAGGAACAATCCGTGTCTCTCTCAGAATGGGAAGCGACTGTCCAGGAAGGATACTGCAGAAAGGGATCAAGGGATCAGAGTGAACCACAAGCTAAATAGGAGTCAACAGTGCGACACTGTTGCAAAAAATCAAACATGATTCTGGGAGGCATTAGCAGGAGTGTTGTGAGCAAGACACGAGGAGTCATTCTTCCGCTCTGCTCTGCACCGGTTGGGCCTCAGCTGGAGTCTTGTGTCCAGTTCTGGGCACCGCATTTCAAGAAAGATGTGAAGAAATTGGAGAGGGTCCAGAGAAGAGCAACGAGAATGATGAAAGGTCTAGAGAACTGAGGCAAGGCTGAAGGAAATGGGCTTGTTTGGTCTAAAAAAGAGAAGGCGCTGAGGGGTCACGAGAACAGTTTTCAGGTATCTAAAAGGGTAAACCCAAATTATAAAACCAGACGAAAGAAGCCCAGTATTTGGGGGTTAGTTGGTATCTAGTCACAGGACAGCGATAGCTTTGGAAAAGTGTCATTTGCCCGCTTGCTGCGGGGTGGTGTGTGGGACTCTCCGGTTAGTCCCTTTGGAAATCCTTCCACATTTCACAGATTGGAAAGGGTACAGAGAAGAGCGACAAGAATGATTAAAGGCCTAGAGAACATGACCTATGAAGCCAGGCTTCATGAACTGGGCTTGTTTAGTTTGGAAAAAAGAAGATTAAGGGGGGACATGATAGCGGTTTTCAAATAACGATTCAGAAGTGCCGTGTGGCTGGAGTTTGGGGTTTTAGGTATTTTGGGACCTCAATGAGGCGCTCATGATTTTGTGATTGATAAGCCTGCCTGTTTTTCCCCCCCCACAGAGTGTATTTCAAGCTGCTGTCCTCAGTCCTTGGCACTGTGAACGTAAGTCCCTGCTCTTGTTAATGTCTGTGGCTTGCTCGAAAGCAGAAACAAGCCTTTGTTAGAAGTCAGGGGCCGGGTTCTCCACGGCTCCTTCACATCATTCCAGCAGGCTGCTGGTCCCCCGGGGCGAAATGCCTGAATACGAGAGTGCTCCTCGTAGCTCAGGGGTGGGAAGGGGGCTCTGTTATAGTGTTGGGCCTGGAGGAGCAGAGGAAGAAATCACAGCTAGGGTTCCTTGTGCTCCAGCTAGTCTCAGACGCCCATGCCCCCTCGGGGCTTGTCACTAGGATTGAGCGGGTTACATGTACTTACAAAACTTTGTTGTTGTTGCCTTAAATATTTGTGTTGGGAAGTAGAGAGGAGGAACCACCAATGTTCCTTCTAATTTTTTTCCATCCATGTGCAGAATAAATTTTATGTGCACCAAATCATATGCCAATGTGCACCACCACGCTGCCGGCTGTGGGGGGTTGTGGGCGCTCTGCTCCTCAGTCAGGCGACATTTGAATGCGTCCTGTGGGGCCACCCAAGTGCTCACTAACAGGGACTGCTGGTAACCACCCGTTGCAAGTTTGTTCCAGGGTGTCATCATTTTCTGTTGCTTGTAAGAATGTTTGGCTGGTCCGGCCCCCTAGCAGGGGCAGCTTGGCATTCTGGCCCCTGGCACACCAGGCCGGATGTGATTTTACGCAAGCTCAGCCTGGGATTGGGAGGTTGCGTGAGTTTGCCTCTGTCTGATGGGAAAAGGCGCCGCCCAGGCATGCTGACGCTGTGGCTTTGGGAGCAGACAGTGTGACGGCGCGTGGGGGGTTCCCCGTCTCCTGCACCCCGAAATGGCACAAACAGACTGCACCAGCCGGTGGAATAGAGGAAGTTTATTGCCTCTCCAGGATACAGCACAGCACAGATGGAATCTGGTCCCAGAGCTGGGCTAGGATGCCTCAGGCCCCCTTGAGATGGGGGAGACTGGGCCCCTAAACTCCAGCCCCTTCTCCTAGGCTCTCCTCCATGCTCTCCCACAGTAACTAACTAAATTCCCTTCCAGCCCTGCCCCCCAGCCAGGGCCGCATTCACCTTCCTTTGTTCCTCTCCATGGGGGGTGTCTGGCCACTGGTTCAACAAGTTTGGCACTAGCTTTGCATAATGAGGTTTTCCCTGCTGGGTCTTGCTCCAGACAGCAGGGGTCACCACAGCCCAGCAAGTACCCCCACTACGTCACAGACAGCCCCTGGGAAAGGGGGAGGGAGATTGGTCCTGGCTGGGAGGTTGGGCATTAGAATATTGGACAAGGCAGGGCTGTTCCCAACCACCAATGGATTCTTTCCCCTTGGAAAATGCACAAACCAGCCTGGCTTAGATCAGGGGTCTCTGTGTCTGAGCCCTTTGGACTGCTGCCCGGCCCTGTAGAATTTGAGCACCGGTCATGTCAACCTCATTGCAATAGCAAAGCCGCCAGGGGTCTTGCAGTGGTGACCCCAGCGTCTTCCCTTGGGGTGCAGGCTCTGCCAGGAGCTGTGTGGGGGAGGGGTCGATGCTGGGGGTGTCATTCGGGAGCAGCCTCCTCTCTGGAACTTATTCCACAAAGGGAACCCCTTCCCATGAGTGGTGGGTACGCGAGGCAGGGGGAGGCGTTGCCTTCCCAAACCACCAGCCTGGTCCCGCCCACGCTCCGCCCCCAGACTCCTACTGTAGGCGTGTTGGGGGGGAGTGTTGTGCCCATGAACACCCGCCTTCTAGGGCTGGGGAGGCTGGGGCCATGTGCTGCCCCACCTCCCTGTGATGGGGGCGTGGCCTGGTCAGAAGGGGAGGGGCTCAGGGCAAGGCTGGGAGCTTGCCCCCCCCAGCCCTGCCTCCATTCACCACCCATGCCCTTGATGCCGGTTTTGTCCCCAGTGCTCTTGTGCTTTGTGCTGCGCTGTGATCTCCCCTGCCCCAGTCGGGTGCCACCGTTTTTGTGGTTCCTAGATGGAAGTTGGGTCTGCAATGGAGCTGGGGTTTGATCTGATCCATTAGCACGGAGGCCTTAAGCTGGCATCTGAAGCTGATGGGGATCCCGGGGAGGGACGGGGCTGGATGTGCTCCCAGAAGCCTCGGTGGCTCTGTTACCTGCTCGTGTGGAAAGCCAATATTCCGGCGTCCTTCCAGGCCCAGCTGCAATCCAGCTGCTGCCAGGCCGATTGGGGTGACGCCTGCAGATATTGCACGTTGCAGGAGTGCTGACTGCGCCATCCCTGTGTTTCAGATTGTGCGTCTCCACGCGCCCCTGAGAGCTTTCGTCCAGGCAGTCCTACTCAAGGAGATCAATTGTAAGTCCAGTGAGACATTTGCGTCAGTGACTACTTGTCGGTCACCAGCCAAGTGCACAGGCTTGGGAGCTGGGTCCAGTGCTCACACGTGCCTTGTGCATTCACTTGCTACAAGGCCCTCCCTGTCTCCTAAGCTGGGCCGGGCGCAGGCTGCTGCTTCCTGAGACTGGCCGTCAGGAAAGGGCTGATGAAATGAAGGGCATTAGGGGCGCGACATCCCCTCTCGCTTGCCCTCCATCTTGGAAAGTCCCTTTGGCCGGCGGGCGGTGACAGAGACCAGCGTCGTGCAGGGGACACGGGAAGGCCCCTGCCAGCCTGGTAACCCCAGACCAGGGCTTGCTCTCCCAAACGGCTTCCTCCCACTAACAGCAACCCCAGCGCTGGAAAAGCAGCCAAGCGGCAGCACGAGGGGACCTTAGTGTGTTTGTGCGCGATCCTGGACTCTGGTCCCTCCCCGCCCCATCTGCCTGTCTGTCCTGACCACCAGGTGGGATTGCTTCCTAGGGATGGTAAAAAAGGTTCATTAGGTAACCGTTAAATATCTCAGCGGTTACTCGCCGTGGGCTCTGCAGTGTAAAGCTTATTAATGCAGAGCCCGGAGCGCAGCCGGCTCCCCGGGAGTGGGCGTGGCAGCCAGTACGAGTTGTATACTGCGGAGGCAGCAGCGCAGGGCGGCAGACGGCTCCCCAGAAGCAGAGTAGCAGGCGGAAGCTGGTGTATGCTGGGAGCCAGCTTCTAGTGCAAACCGGCTCCCGCCTGCTGCTCCGCTCCTGGGGGAGCTGGCTGCTGCCCCTGATTCAGAGGCAGTGGTGTGGGGTGACAACAGGTCCCGGTGGAGCAGGGCCGGGAGCCGGCGTGTAACCGTTATGGTAACTGATAAGCTCATGATGGGCGTCCGGCATGTACGGCGGGGGAGGGCTCTGCCTTCCCAAATCGCCAGGAATGGCCCCGCCCACACTCCGCCCCCAGAACACCTGCAATAGGCATTCTGGGGGAGAGTGTTGCTGCCCCCAGCG